GCCGGCGGTGTCGCGCACGCGCGCGGGGGGCTGTGGGGGCCCAGGGCACCGAAGGGGTTCCCGGGTCCGCGGGTCTCGGGTGGAGTCTTGCCCCTCCTCGGCCGCACTTGGTGGACTTTCCTTGGACTTCTAAAGTTCCGGGCGACGCCGGACGCTGGGGATTCCCTCTTCCTAAATAATAATCCAAGGAATGAATGAGGGAATGAATGAATGGGTCACCTCGGCTGTGCTCCTTGCGGCCCTGCCCCCCTGCCCCGGGCCTCCTGCCTCCTCTGGTCCTCTGGACGTGGTGTTTTCGCTCCGAAAAGGGGGGTGCGTTGTACTGAGTGGTCTCAGGTCCCTTTCGCCCTCTCCCCTCGCTTCGCAGTCCTTAACACTTGCAAGTTATTAATTCATTAAGTCTTCGATGTCTGCTCCCTGGTTGTGAGCCAGGTCTGGCGGGTGATGGAGGCAGTAGGGGACTAGGAGGACGATGGGGAATGTGCCGGTGTCCAGCAACTGGACAAAAGCAAGCCTGACCCCCCTGTAGCATGCCCTGGCCTGACCCGGGGTCCTGCTGTCTCCTCCCCCAGCACCGCCGCCATGTGGATCCAGGTTCGCACCATGGACGGGAAGGAGACCCACACCGTGGACTCGCTGTCCAGGCTGACCAAGGTGGAAGAGCTCAGGCGGAAGATCCAGGAGCTATTTCACGTGGAGCCGGGTCTGCAGCGGCTCTTCTACAGGGGCAAGCAGGTAAACCCGCCCCGCAGGCTGCCCTGCTCGCCCGCTGCCAGCACCTTTGTTCTTGCCTGGTCCAGGCTCAGCCCCCCTCGTCCGGTCCCGCTTCACGTCTCCCGGAAGGAGAAGTCCACAGAAACCTCAGATGCCTGTCAGAGAGGCGGGAACAAAGACCGGACTCGCAGATCGACACACCGGGCAAGCAGCTGGCACTCCTGTCTGGGGCGTCTGGGCTCTTAAACTTGTTTTTTTTTTTTTTCTTTAATTGTTAACCCTGAAATAATTTTAGAGAAAGAAATCTAATAGAGGCAGCCTACAGAGAGCTGAAGAATTTCAAGGGAAGTCTAGAATCGTCATGCAGATAGGGGGGACCAGGGTTTTCTTTGAAACACACCACACAGCCATAGTCCACAGCTGACGCCCCCATTAGTCAGAGCTTCAGAATGTGCTTCCTGGAAATTTGGATTAGTTTATTCAAGGTCCCGGAGCCGGCTCTTGCAAATGAGGGATTTCCGCCACTCTATGCATGGGGTGTGGGGGCTCTGCGGGGTTGGCGCTTCTCGGCCCTGCTAGCCTTACACAGCTGCTCACGTTTGAGACGCCCGTTTCCCTGGCACGTGGGGTTTCCACCTTTGTTTGCATCTGGGGGGGGTGAACCGTGGGATGTGCTGTGAGTGGGATTTCCTGCATGGGAGAAGGTGGTATGGAAGGTTGGGTCCTGTTTGCTGGGGCAGCCTGGAGCTGGTGGGGGCGTCGTGGCCACAGGGGCGTAGAGACTTCTGGAAGTAGATTAAAAGTTGTCGGTTGGGGCTGTGAATGCCCGACTTTGTTGTCGTCGAATTTCGAACGGGTTATTACTGCCATCTGCTGTCTAGATTGGAAAATAGATACCGGCCGCTCCGCTGGGTTTTTGGGGGCAGGGACGATCCTGCGTGCTGCACTTGGAATCAGACCTGATGATCGTTTCTTGGGGTTCTGGGGTCTAGGAGATCTCTGTAAGCCTCCTTCCTATAGAGATGCAATGCCTCGCACATCTTAAGAATCTGAGTTCACCCGCCCTGCCCAGGGAGGAGCCAAGCCCAAGAACTCGACAATTGACCGGCCACGGCCACGTGCGCGAGCAGGCAGGCAGGGCTGTGATCAGGGCTGGGCTCCCCGGCCTGGCGGAGCTCCACCACTGCCCCCTCCTCTTCCTCCTCGTGGTATCCAGGCTGCTTTGGCTTCACTCGGCACAGGGGCTTCAGCTCACAAAGGCTTCTGGAAGCCTGCACGTACCTGTTACGTTTCCGGCGTAGTTCAAAGGCAGACGGGACTCTGGTTTCTCACGTTCAGAAGAGCGGATGTTATTGTTTGTCCTAAGCCACGCACCGAGCTAGCATTTTTTTATTTTGAATTTGCTGGAAAGTTTGTGCACGGCCAGAGAGAGGGAGGAGAGGGAGAAAGCAGCCCTCCCGCAGAACGGCCCGGTTCTGCGGCAACCGCTTTTCTTCCTTTGCTCTGTCCTGTTGAGGTTGGGGGCACGCACCCACACCTGCCTGGTGTGTTTTTCAAGCTGCCCGGGCTGGGATTCGAACCCACCAGCCATGTGTGATCTGGCTCCCTTAATCACAAGGTCGCGGAATTGACCCTGAGCCAGTATTTAAATTTTACATCTCCACCCTGCAGAAAAGTTGCCAGAGCCGTGGTCACTAACCTCATCTACCTTGACCAATGGCCGTGTTTCATTTATCACCAGGCGGTCTCTGTCCACCCGTCCTCTTAACCTTTTTTTTTTTCTTGTAAGAATTATTTATTTATTTAATTCCATTTGTTGTTGCTAGCTTTTTGTTGTTGTTGTTGTTGTTGCTAGCTTTTTTTTATTTGACCGCCAGAGAGAGAGAGAGAAAGGGAAAGTGAGAAAGAAGCAAGCTACCGGGTCTGGGACTTGAACCATGGTCGGTCATGTGGGAATCCAGCGCCCTTATCCAGCACACTGCCTGTTGGCCCCTGTCCTCTTACTTTTAGGGACGTGTTTTAAAGTGAGTTGCAGAAGGCAGCTCACGTCACCCGCCCCCAACATTTCAGCATACTACTGTTTCAATGTTAACTAGAATTCAATACTTATTTGTTTGTGGTTATATCTTTTCTTTTTTGTCTAAGTGCCAGAGGGTACAAGAGACAGAAAAGCTGGGAGAAAGTCCCCCCACGTCATGGCGCATGGACACGCCGTTCTTTTCCTCCTTTTCTCCTTCCTATCAGGACTTTGGACAGACACACACACACACACACACACACACACACTCAGTATGTATTTCAAGCTTTCAGGGCTGGGATTTGAACCATAGCTAGCTCTTTGGGTCTGCCTCCCTAACCGGTAGGCTATGGGGCTGGCCCTGTTTTTAATCTCCCCTGCTTCAGGGCACGTCCACTGGCCAGAGAGAGAGACAAAGTGAGAGATCACCCCTCCCCCAGGGAAGCCATGCCGCAAACCTTTCTGTGTTTGCCTTGGGATTTGGGGCATGCATACGCATGGGCCCGACATGATTTTCTTCTTTTTTTTTTTTAGGAGAGGGATTTTTCCTATAGGGCATGTGTGCTTGTCAGAGAGACAGAAAGTGAGAAATCGCCCCCAGAGGGGTGGCCATGCTGCAGTCCCTTCTCCTCCTTCCTTCTCTCAGGATTTTGGGCATGCACACACATGCACCCGGTGTGAGTTTTTAAGCCACCGGGTCCGGGACTCAAACCACATGGGAGTCCAGCAAAATAACCATTACACCATCTGCTGGCCCCAATGCCTGGCATGACTTTCAAGACTCTGGGCCTGGGACCCAAATTGGGGTTGCCCATGTGGGAGTCCCGTGCCTTAACCATCTTGTCACCTGCTGGCCCCGTTTTGTTTATTTAAATTGTATTTGCGGGGTTTTCAGAAAGTTTATAGAATATGTGTATTATGAAAACACGGCCTGGATTTCAAAGGTTTTTTGCATCAAATAAACACGCACGTTCGTTCTGAAATCCCCTCATATAGGGAACACGTATTTAGGTAGACCATTTGAAGAATTTTCACAAGGGGCCGGCAGGTGGCGTGATGGTTAAGGGTGCTGGACTCTCACATGGCCGAAATGGTTCGAGTCCCGGAACCGATGACGCACCTCCTCAGGCTCGCTTTCTCTGTGGTCAAATTAAAATAAATAACATAAAATATTTCTTTAAAAGAAAAGAATTTTGAAAAACAGCGACATCCAGGTAGCGCACACCCCATCTGTCTGCGATGTTGCATTTGATTCATACCGAGGTATCTGTCACCCCTGTGCAAGTTTAAAGTGTGACCAGGGGACGCCTGTGTTCGTTACACACAGACCTGGTACCTTTACCTGTCCTCAGCAACGAGGCAGGCCACTCTGGCTGAAGGGGGAGTAGGACTTGAACCCAGAGCCTTGGTCTCAGACAGCCCACGACACCGCATTTGTTCTCCCAGGGCACCCAGTCCCATGTCCCCATGCAGCCTGCATAGCAGAGCCCCATGCCCCCTCGCTGTGTGGCTTCTCTGGAAGGGAACGGGTCACCGCTTCTGTTTTCCGGGTAGGGCAGCCTGGCCTCCCGGCAGTGACTGTGGCGCAATTTCCCTGTGTCGCCAGGCCAGGAAGTGGCGCGGCTGCGGGAGGCACCGGCAGTGACAGGAGGCGGTGCAGGGCCCGGCTGAGCCTCGCGCCGCCTGCAGAGTCGCGCACGCGCGGTGCTGCCTGCGAGCTCGCGCATGCGCCGTGCAGTCGCTGCGGAGCCCAGTGGGTGGGAGTGGGCCGTGGCCGTCACAGAATGTGCTAGAGTCGTGGTTTTTTTTTTTTTTTTTTTTTTTTTTTTTTTA